CCTGTGCCATGTGTCTTCCCGCTGCCTCATCAGGTCGATGCAGTAAGACAGTGTGGCAATTATCCCGGCGGTGGTTGCCTTAAACGTAATGGCCTCCCCCTTGAAGTCCAGTCCGTTCATCCCCGGCGGCAGCCTGATGTGGGGAGCTGGAGGGAGAGGAGAGGAGAGAGGTTCCACCAGATTATCTCGGCTCACTCCAGCTCCAGCTGGCTCGTGTGCGCGCTGATAAAGACGTAGTGCTGTTTCTAAATTAAATGTTATCAAATCTCCCCGTGTCCACTTGGAGAGGCCGTCTATCATGTATGGTTACACTTCGGAAATGACGCATGGCTACTGCAACTTGAATGGGACAGAGACGCACCTCCGGCCTTATCTTTACAAAATTACGGCACAGACCCTACAGGTAAATCTACAGTTGGACCTGGATTGGGAGTGAAGGGCATCCATACACATCTGAGGTGCTATTACCACAGGGGTGGAAAAATTACTTTTCCGATGTTCCTCTCCATGGAATGAGATAGCACAGACAGTCTCTGACAGGACCTAATTGCCCCTGAAAATGTTGGCTGCTTGCATTGTCTTGTACCTCAAACTTGCATTGTCCTCATAGAACCCTAGCAAATCCAATTTTGTACGGTTATGCATTCGGTGTGAAGGATGACGCAAATGCATATTGCCTTTTTAATCTACCCCGGGAGTGTACCGGTTCCAACTTAACAAATGACTTGCCATGATGGAAAGTTACTTGCCCACAACAAACCCTTCCTCGCTACTTGGCAATCTCAGTCGTTATTCTTAAGACAGCGTGCCGTGATGGATCATGATAGAGAGGGCATGTCTGTGATTACCTCTGGCAATTGAAATAGAGTCGGTGATAAACTATGGGGCATGAACGGCTTCCTCAAGGCCAATGGCAAAGACTACATGAAGCAATAGTAACACCAGGAGTTTGAAGATTTTTTCCTCAGGCCATGTGTTTGAATAAATTCTGTCTATTCACATCATCACCTACTAGTATGTGAACAAAATCATGATCAGATACAGTGAAAAAATGAATCAGTACCCCATGTTGTTATTGTGCATGGATGTGCGCCTTTAGACTCTTAAGTTCTCACCAAAACATAATATGAAACATGATAAATACATGTACATGACCAACTAAATGGTACAATGCAACAACCACTACTCTCCCTTGCTCTCACACAAGAGATGTAAAATTAAGTTTTCAGTATTTTGGGAAACATAAGGCCACAATTCAACACAGCAACAAAACTGTAAATCAGGATTAGTCTTTAAGCACTACATTTTTGCACTGCACTTAAGAAATAATCCCCTACACTAACCTGTCCATGGCAGCAGCCTTCCCTGCCGCACAGTCACAGCCGTTTGATCAGACTAACAGAAATGTGAGCCCTTTGGAGGGACACGCATTCATCTTATTGTAATCACACTGTCTGTTTGGGAGTGCGAGTGTGTACCGAGGGCCTACAGGTATCATATTCATCTGCAACCATGTAACATTACAACATCCATCACCAGCGAGGAGGAAACGCTTGTAGGAAAGGTTACGATATTCA